AGCTTCTTGTGTCATCCGTATTTTAATTTGTTTATTATTTCTTTATTATTTCCTGACATGCCAAAACGGGGTCGCTTTAGTCATTTTCAATTTTATTTTTATTTTTTTAAGGATTTTTCTTATTGAGATGAACGATAATATACTAAACTTATACACACAACATGAATGCTAAGACTCGAACCCAAAACCTTATCTTGGGGAGCAATTACTCCAAACTATTACATCAGTGGGTTCTTTGACCTTTTCTTTTTCTTTTCTTTTTTTGGGTAAGAACTGTGCGCCAAATTGAAGAGAACTCTTTACAAACCCCTTGCACAATGTCAAATTTTCGTGCTCGAGCTAGATGATGAAAAATTATCATGTCCGGTTCTTCTTGGATAGATAGAGCTTCTGGTTTCCATGTTGCCAAAGAGTTGAACAATGGGTGATTCATTGCCTAGTTAATGAGCATGTCTAATATTCAACATTATGTCTTGACGATGACTCATAACCTCCATGCTCTTTAGCACGAGATTTTTGAGTTTGGTAGGTAGGGCTTTACCAATCTTTTTACTACATAGTCTATTTCAACAATTATAACTTGACCTTCTAATAAGTCATCAAATTTAAATTCGATAATTTATATTTGACATTTCCTTTATAGATACTTTTAAATCATTATTTACAAGAATAAAAGAAGACTTCGAGAAATAAAGACAAAAAGGAAGGGCGACGGTGGTAGCAAAATGGAGAGGAGGTCATTGGTGGTTCCGCCACGAGGCGGCGGTCAACGGCGACAAGAGGAGGGGTATTGTTGTCATTATAAAAAAAAAATATTTAATCATGGGTCCCACCCCTCCAAATACAACCCTCAAAAAGGTTCAACACTCTTCATTAGCCCATTACCAGCTCAGCCCTGGAAGCCCACCAGACCCAAGTCAAATGTGTGTGTGAACCAAGCAGCCTTAAGGCCTTCCTTAGCCCCCTCCTCTCTTCTCCATTTCTTTCTTCCGTCTCTCAGAGACTCCGACAGTTTCACTTGCTCCTACAGTCACAGACTACCCTGTTCGGCAGCGCCACCCAATCTTCGGGCCTTGTTTTTGGCTCTGGAAAGGCCAAAAAGGTAACTTTCTTTTCTTTCTATCATATCTGAGTTTTCCCTTTGCAGATTTTCCTATTGATAGTCTCGTCTCTACATTCTTGTAAGCCTATAAGGATCTGGTTGTGTAACTTGTGTTTTATTTTTTTAATTAAATCGGTCACAGCCATAAAATTGTGTTCTTAACAGAGCCTTCTGTTTGGTCCGTGGGATTTGAGGGTTACATTTTTCAAAGAGAAGGATGGGGAGAATGATACTGAATAATGCATTGCGAACAATAGTGAATGCGGAGAGAAGGGGGAAAGCTACGGTGGAGTTGCAACCTATCTCCACAGTCATGTCCTCTTTCCTCAAAATCATGAAAAATCGAGGTAAATCCATTCTCCTCGTTATATGGATTTTGTTAATTAATAATAAATCAGCCTTTTTTTTTTATGCATTACTATTTATTTTAAGAATCTGGGTTGCCGTAAAATTTATATCGGTGGGAGGGTTTTGAAAGCAGTAAACTTGTAGTGATTAAGGATCTCTAGAACTTGGTTGGTATGAGCTCTAGGAATTATTCTTTCGTGCACATATAATGTTTTATATTTTATATTTCTAAACGTAATCGCGATGTCAAATACCGTCATTTACATTAGTTTTGTTGGTGTCATGGATTTCAATGTCAATTTGTGATCCATTTATGAATTACAGATAAGGGACATTCTCCAATAAGTATTTAAGTTAAGGATTGGTTACATACTTCTAATCTCGACTGTTGGATTGCTTCTAAGAGACTACAAATACATTTAATGAATGCAATTCAACGGCCAAGATTAGAAGTCTGTAACCAATCCTTAACATAAAATACTTATTGGAGAATCTCCCTAAAGATAATACCATGTTCATTCTGATGTGAGGCATAATGAGGAATGCTTGGATGAGATAGTTCAAGGTTATAGTGGATTAAATAAATTTGTGCTGTGTGATGGTTGTAGAACTGGGTATTAGAAAATTTACATTACAGGCAACTTGTGAATGATGATGGGTTGTTTGAATTGGGGTATATGATATTCTTTAATTGGTACACAGAACTGCATTCATGCATGTTTTTTTTATCTATATTGTGTCCAAATTCATTTGCTAATTTGTTGCATGTTGTAATGCTTGCGCATGGCACATTTTCTTTAGGTTATATCAAGGATTTTCAAGTTTTTGATCCACATAGAGTGGGGAAGATAACAGTTCAACTACAAGGCAGGGTTAATGATTGTAGAGCTCTTACTTACAGACAGGATGTCAAGGCAAGGGATATTGAAGAGTACAAAATGCAAAAGCTTCCAACCCGCCAGGTTTGTTAACCTCCTGATGTCGAAAGACATGTCAAAATTACTTGATTCTTATTTGTCCCGTTTATTATGTCTGGGAAGGTCTGTGTTTGGAATTTTTTTTAAATGGTCTTTCTCTCTCTTCATGCAGTGGGGTTATGTTGTGATTACTACTCCCGAAGGGGTGCTGGATCACGAAGAGGCTGTTAAACGTAATGTGGGGGGGCAGGTTCTTGGCTATTTTCATTAACATCTTGTGGATGGGAAGAGAGAATTGTTCTCCTATATGATGACATCCTGACTTCCCCAATTAGAATTTGTTGTTTTGTTTACCACAAAATCAACTTATGTGAATCGTGTGTCAACTTATGATTTAGATAAATCGTAGAACAGGAGGATTGCTCCTCTTGAAAACGCATAAATAACACTTTATCTATTTCACTTAAATTCACATCTCCCTCTCGCTATCGCTTATCCGATGTATCGATGATCGGAATTCGACTCGGGTTGTGGGATGAGTGATTTTTTTTTTTTTTGGGTACAATCTTTTCAATATCTTCGATCACCCAGGTCTGCAAAGTCGAGGAGAAATATGCAAGAGCCACCTACATAGGTGGAAGGAAAGGTATTTCTTTTACCAGCATCCCCAAGCCCAAAATCCACGTACATTGGACCAATCGCTGCCTATATTGGCCCAATAGGTGGCCTCACTAGCCTTAGACAATCATTTACATTAATGATTCACTACTACTATCTAGAAAGAAAAAAAAAAACATAAATCAATATATATGGTCAAGATCATTTATCAATTGTATTTTAAAGACAGAGTTCGAGTTAGATTTTTATTGGTCCATGTGCCATGAACCAATAAAAGTTGGATTAAGGGAGAGGGGTTTTTAGGGGTGTAAAAAAATTTCAATATAACTGTAACACTGTCACGTGGTGTTATCAATCCACCTATATTATAACACTGAATATGATTGGTGGATGCCATCCTTTTCATGCATACCAGAACATATATCTATATAAACATTATGAGTTTTTATTTCCCATCTTATGGAATGTCTTAGAAGATCCAAAAACAAA